ATGTGACAAAATATGGAAAAGTTCAAGGGGTATGAATACTTTTGCAAACCACTGTATGTGTTACATTATATTCAGAAAACAGTTTTAATATTGTACACATTTGATTAATAAAATATAGATATATGATGAGTACATATTTATTTATAATAACTTGCTAACTATTTTCTATTATTCTGTTATGACTCATCTTAACTTTGTTTTATTTTTTCCTGGAATATAAACCCACAGCTGTTACAAACATCTTTTCTATGAAACACTGCAGATGATGAAAGACTGAAATATAATGAATTCTGTCACCAACTCCTGGTTGTGTTACCTCCTGGTTGTGTTACCTCCTGGTTGTGTTACCTCCTGGGTGTGTTACCTCCTGGGTGTGTTACCTCCTGGTTGTGTTACCTCCTGGTTGTGTTGACTCCTGGTTGTGTTGACTCCTGGTTGTATAACCTCCTGGGTGTGTTGACTCCTGGTTGTGTTACCTCCTGGTTGTGTAACCTCCTGGTTGTGTTACCTCCTGGTTGTGTTGACTCCTGGTTGTGTTACCTCCTGGTTGTGTTACCTCGTGGTTGTGTTACCTCCTGGTTGTGTTACCTCCTGGGTGTGTTGACTCCTGGTTGTGTTACCTCCTGGTTGTGTTGACTCCTGGTTGTGTTGACTCCTGGTTGTGTTACCTCCTGGTTGTGTTGACTCCTGGTTGTGTTACCTCCTGGTTGTGTTACCTCCTGGTTGTGTTACCTCCTGTGTTGTGTTACCTCCTGGTTGTGTTGACTCCTGGTTGTGTTGACTCCTGGGTGTGTTGACACCTGGTTGTGTTGACTCCTGGTTGTGTTACCTCCTGTGTGTGTTGACTCCTGGGTGTGTTGACTCCTGGTTGTGTTACCTCCTGGTTGTGTTACCTCCTGGTTGTGTTGACTCCTGGGTGTGTTGACTCCTGGTTGTGTTACCTCCTGGTTGTGTTACCTCCTGGTTGTGTTGACTCCTGGGTGTGTTGACTCCTGGTTGTGTTACCTCCTGGTTGTGTTACCTCCTGGTTGTGTTGACTCCTGGTTGTGTTACCTCCTGGTTGTGTTGACTCCTGGTTGTGTTACCTCCT